ATCTCGGCTGAAAAATCCCCGCTGAAATGTGCAGCAATTTTTTTCACCTTATACCTGCCTGCTTAGACAGACTCGAGCTGATCGACGGCGTGTGAAGCAAGACTGGGAAAACTTTTTTTTTCATTTCTACACATTATGGGAAACGTTGGACCGATGAATCGCGAGTGCGAGCTTTTATAACCAATCCCGTAATATGTAAGTGTGAATTAGTCAATTATTGATTACATAGCTTTTCGGATTTGGCAGCAATTTTCATTTAATAATTCTAATCAACTCCAGCGAACTTTAAAATAGAGTCACGGGCGATAAATCTTTGCACACGAGCGTGCCTCACCTTCTTCGCGCTTAATAACGCGCTGCAGTTTTCCTATACTTTATGATTTTTTGATTGAAAAAAATCGATCGAGCGAGCTACTTTATACGTTCGGGGAGCTTATACGCGCTGCTGAATGTGCTAAAAAAATGCGAAAGGATCCAATAAAGTGGAAACCCGAGGATTGATTGCCAGAACTCGCATACAAGAACTGTAACGTTTACACGCCCTGCAAGCCACTGTGCTCCGAAACTGGGCCATTGTTGTACAATCGGTTCACTATTTTTTAGCTTACCTGATCGCTACCGTGCTGATATTGTATTCAGGCTCGACAATTTGTGAAACAATCTAACAGCGCACAAGAGAATTTTACATACAAGGCACATTTACCGTTTTCCATTTACGTCATATAGTTTTTTAGCAAATCTAATGTAACGTCTGTCTTCATTGAATTTTTTAGCCTTGTTCGCGCGAGTTCGCAATAATCGGTGAAAAAAAAAGGTTTTTACATAATGCATCGTTATTCTCAATCAATTCTAATGATCTCACTCATCGGCGTGAAAAGTTGAACGAACTCCGAAAGCCGCGTAGCATGCTATTCAGGCAGGATACGCTCGGAGAGGAAAACAGCACAATGGGCGCGAGCGAACGAGTGAGAGTGAGCGAGAGAAAGAGAGGAATCATACTTTCCTGAGCGTCCGTGAACCTGATGAAAAAATCAAGATTGTGACGAGAGGTAATGCTCTGCCTGTATGGCATTCTCATGCGCCATGCAGGAGAAAAGGTTTTGCGCGCGTTTGATATGCCTAGTTTTCTTCGGCTATAAATGCGCCGGACGATCTTGATTTTACGCCCCGTGAGCCGTTTAATAACGATCACGTATACTTTCAGTCATCTCATTTGAATGAATTTATCATCGCGTACGTATCCAATTCGTTTCGAGTAAACACGTCATATACTTGAGCCTGTGTTACATAGGAGCCGTATTTTCGCCTGTTTCGCTTTAACAAAGCTTTTGTATCGAAATATTTTTAAATTTCTCAAAGAATATAAGAACGGTCCGTTAGTTAATTAAGCGAAAAACTAAAAGTGCCGTCGTAAATTACCCGCTGGTTCTAAATTTCTTTCATTTACTCTTTGAGTGTGGTATAAGTAAAAAATCTTTGATGAGTATACGTTTGGCGAGCTTTTTATCCGCAAGAGCTAGAAAAAGTAACGCGATAAGATGAAGAGAAAATTGGCTGCTGTCGGGGAGAAATATCCATACACATAACGTCTAAATTAATTGACCCGAAGAAAGCTTACATAACACAGGCGTGAGTCATTAATTCAATGTAACGGCTCGAGCAAGAATTAAAGCTAAACGAATATAGCAATAGTTAGCAACGGCACATCGTTGCTCCATTGTTCTCGTACATTATTCGATATTCTTAGACATTTTTGACCATTTTTCTCGAGCAGTCGGAAAATTTTTTAGATAGTCGTCATTGTCATAGTCGCCTCAATTTCTTCTTTGCTTATTTGTTGTTTTTTTTGTTTGCAACTGTAGCTCACACGTGACCGTAGAGTGATTTATATGCGTGCGCGAGAGTGAAATAATGAAAGAAAACGTGCGTATGCGCGACAGCAATTTATTTGATAAAGTTGATAAGCACGTCGCTTTGTCATGCCCCATCGTATGAACATCGACGGATATATTAAATGTGTACTGGACGCGTTTACGATGATTATATAGAAAATCGATAAATTCCACTCATTCCGGTCAAGGTCAGCTTTAGGATAATTTCGTTGCTTCACATATAATGGAGCATTGTATTGTTCTTGCAACTATTATTGGATTTTCCTTTTTTTTTCGTAAAAACAATGAAAAAGTCTATGGTCCTCTTGAACTTGGGTTGAATTCAAAACGAACCGACGAAACTTTATCGGTATATATTTTTATACAAGTTGACAAAGCTCTAATATAACGAGAACAGCTAAAATTTCAGACAGTAAAAACCTTTTGTTGCAAAACCACCGATGCACTGATTATTTAGCCCACAAGATGCAAATTACTCCATAATAAATATGTGAGTGTGTTGCGCAATAATCTCAGACATTCTTGTATTTTCGCTGTCGTAAAAAGTGTAGCGTATGTAACTCCCCTCGATTGACATTTTGAAGTTGTTGCAGATTCAAACTGCTTAAAGCGTGTGTATCGATATCCCTCGCACCGTATCTTGGTAAATCTCTTGCGACGAGTGACGACCGGTTCTCAGCGCTATCAATCTACGATCGAGCATCTGTATTTTGGCTTCAACGTAAAGAGGCCAATCACGTTTGAAACGCTTGGCTCGCTTACCCTCGTATATGCACGTGTGCGCGACTATACGAACACCTACATAGAAAATTAATTATTCGCTCTAAGAGCATTGTAAAAGAGCCATTTACAATGGTAGCAGTTGCATTTATACATCGGTAGCTTAATCGGCTAATTAATCGGTTAACTTGCGTGTATCTGTGTGTACATAGGTTGCTCGGCTGCTGAAACGTGCCGTATATTATGCATCCAGCCAAACGGTTTCTCTTTTTCTCTATTCCAAGCCAAATCCATACGTGCTGATCTGCTTTGATGCGGCCATTTACGTGCTAACGTACATACACATGCATTCACGTGCTTACCTGTAGTATATGAGCATACACCTACTGGAGCACTGGGTTAGTATATATTGAATTGTTGCGAAAGTATAATACGTTCACCGAGTGATTTACGATCGTTTCAATGTATTTTATGTTGTTACTCGCGGTTTTGTGCGACGTGCATTACAAAATCAAAGCGTATAATAGCAAGTCATATTCTCCCTTCGAGTCGTTAAAAATCGTTTTTTTTTCGTATGATTTTTAAAATTTTTTATCAAGTGCCTAATGACACGAAAAACTTGAGCGGCTGCTTCGAAAAAAAAGCGTACAAAGTATTTCACTGTTTTGATGGAAACAAGATTATGTATTTTCAAACAGTCGCAAAAAAGAACCAGATAATTTCCCGAGTAAACGTGCACAAAGTAAATAAAATACTTGCTCGGCATGTCCTACCACGAGGCCGAGAACGCGTGCGGAGTACGAAGCCCCGCAGGCTGTAACGAAGTGGGTAGAGTAGTGTCGGGGTGCCGCGAAACAACAACAAAAGCTTGCGCGGGAGAGCGAAACTACAGCGAGATAAAAACGCCCGGGCTCCGCTGGCTAACACGCGGCTTTAGCCACAGGCATGTGTTACGCTCTGCCCTCTCTTCCTTACATCAAAGGATTCAGAACCAGTCTAAATGTTAATCAACGAGAATAGAAGCGTTCCAGCGTAAGATGTAGAAATATTTTCTTCTCTATTTTTTTTTTATTTATTTATTTTTTTTTTTTTTTGAGAAATTTTATCGATCAAAGCTGTTGAACGGTTCACTCTGCGAACGATTTTGTAATACGCTCTACGCTACGATAAATCAGACGGAAAGCTAATCTCGAGCTGGTAGCTACATAATCACGACAATAATTATAAGTTTAAGCTTTCACTTGCTCTCGCAGCTTTATACAAGTTCGATAATTAAAGCCGATCGCCATCATAAATGCACAGCCTCCCTCATTTTACAGTTTGCTTTCTCCGTTATATTTATACACATTTAACATTGTACACGTAAAACAAGTAATGTGCGCGAAACACCGCTGTGTGTATGTGTGCACGGGCATAGGTATACGTAGATGTCGTGGAAGAAAATGGCACGAGAGGGAGAGAGAGAGAGACTTTCTTGCGGTTTACGCTGCCGCTCGTGGGACACAATAATTGACCTTTTTTCGCTATAGACATTAGATCTTTTTTTCGCAATTAGCGCGCTAATCATGAATGTATCTTTTTTTTAAATCGTCGCTAAACGTAGGAAGTCATCGCATTAAAAACGAAACTTTAGACGTGCACGTTGGGTTGTCGTGATCGAAGTGGAAAATTATAAATCCATATCACGATGCTGCAGGCGATCGTCAGGTGAGAAAATCGACCCGTGACTGCATTATAAACCTTGGGCGATTTATTAGCAAATACCTTCGAGTGCACCTCTCGCAGAAACAAAGAAACACGAGCAGAAAGCATAAAGAGCAGATAAATCAACTCGTGCAACGAGTGCAACATCCCTTTACGAGACGCAGACGCGAGCTAACATGCGTGTAAACTTAGATTATTAAGATCTTACGAGCGTCGATTGTTCAGCCGTTATGTGTATCGATAACAACATCACTAACACGTACTCGCACTGCAACAATGAAAAGTTTCGATTTTTCAATCGTGATCACGCAAGTTCATGAAATAATCTATTCAGCGCATGTCATACAGCAGTGTTAAACATGTGCCAAAAGATCTTGTGGGAATAGCGTGTGTATGCGAAACTTTCGGTTGGGTGCTCTCGAGCGAACGTGCATTAAGTAGTCGAAAAACGTTGCAGTGGCAGTTGCGCCCAAAATCTCACCCCGACGAGAGTTCCAGTACACGTTGTATATGCACTCGCGGTGGTCCGGGACGTTGCGAGATCTTGCTTTTACGCGCGCAGCCTCGAAGCTTTACCAAAGTTCGTTCGAGTTACGTCGGATCGTTACATTTGAAATGTCCAGGGAAACAAGTTGTAAAACGAAGAATGTGTCAACAGTAGCTGAAAAAATATACGAAACTCACCTGATAGTTGCCTCTCGGACTGCGATCGGGGCTGTTGTCGACTCTGAAAAAGAAAAAAACGAGCGTAAGCTGATTAAAGTTAGAACGAAAGGTATCGTTGAAGCAACAATTTCTTTTTTCTACAGTTCTGGTTGACAGTTTTCGATGGATATAAATTAATGCGCGCGAAAAGCTTATTAAATCAAGCATCTTTTGATCAATAGCCAAAGATTATCAATTGCGAAAGTTTATTTTTTCCAAATGTCAAACTGTGGCGATTTTTCAATTCTCTCAAAACTGTCGGCGCGCAACGAATCGAACGTTTATAACGAGTCCATCGCCTGCAGGCCTAACCCGGTAAATGCATACGGAGAGCGAAAATATCTATCCTTGACATGGGAGCTGCGGAGCTGGACGCGAGTTCGTACATACCATTACGTATCGTCGAAAATACGATTTACAACAGAGCGATATGATTATTTTAAATGTCCTTATCCGAACAGTTTTTGAAATGCATCGTCGAAAATTTTCATCGACTTTGTTTGCACTTGACCGTATATTTTTATCCCATAAGTTGTATAATATAGCAACTATCACGAGTCGTTGTTTGTATACGATGCATACAGTGTTTACACGTGTCTCCGGTGCAGGCGCGTTTGTGCGAAGAACTGCCCATAAATCAGATATATATTGCGTCGGTGCACAGAGTAAAACTAGTTTGAGCTTGCGTGGACGCGTGTGGCTCTGATTCGATTATCGATCGAACTTACGAATAGCTATTTTCCAACTCGTGCAATTTTTGCAAGATACTAGAGCGTTTAACCGCTCAAGAATTCGATTCATTGTTTACCCCAAGTACGTATACGAAAAAATGAAAAAAAAAAATCAACGCCTCGCGAGAAAGCGTGCGAAAGTGCGCATCGATTAGAGAGTATTGTCAACGCGATTCCGAAATAAATAAATAGCCGATTCGTGTGTCGTACATTACGGCGGCGGTGGCATTCATTAGCAATTTACACGGCGAGAAAGAGAGGAAAAAGTACAAACGAGCTGCTGTTGCTGCTGCCGCGGCTGGTGCTGAATAACAATAGTTGCGTTTCGACATAGATAACGTATTTGGCCGAGTAAAGGTCGTCGTAGCTAGTGTATGATGTATGTGTGTGTACGTGTTTGTGTGTGTTTTTATCTGATGATAAAATACAGCCGAGACTTTATAGAGCAGTATAACCGTTACTTTTATAGGATACATATACCTACACTAGATCCTTTCTGTAATGTAATTCAGATACACCAAACACACACATACACTCACATGCACACACACGTATGCACTTACGGCAAGCATGTACATCAGCAGGCCGATACACGTGACATGAAAAGGAAAGGAAAGTTTTTGGTTGCTGCGCTCTACGCTGCAATGTCTATATGGACAAGCCAAAAGGGATTGGTATCGCGAGCCCGAGTGCATTATCCGATGATTGAAGCGGCGACGAACATGCATGTAGGCTGTTAGCACACGATGTCCGTTACATGCGGGTGGCTTTTGCACCGCCAGTAAATATTTTCAATGACTATAGGTTTTTTTTTTTTTTGTAATTTTCGTCGTCAACGATTTTGCCAGTTCATCTCGCGTCAGTTCCATACCCGCATCGAATGACTCAAAAACTCGTCATCGCTCCATCGGTCCTCTTTTTTTTTTTTTTCTTAAAGAATACCGTCGTGCAATTTTTTTATTCAATATAATCTCTGAGACAACTGAGCAACTTTGATAAAATTTTTATCAATTTTAAATACCGAGTGAATTATTAACGAGCAAAGTTTACCTCGCCATACGCTGTGTGCACACATTGACGCTCCCTAGATATAGGAGGATTTTGAAGCGGTCTGCAAAGAGGATCGTCCGTCCAAAGTTCCATCAAGCGGCTAATCAACAGCAGCGTCCGACGGCTTAAAAGCACGCCCGAGCGCGTTTCTCGGCTTTGACCGCTCGCAGAACACCGATAACCTACTCAAACGCGCGCGAGACTCACAACGTACACATTTTTCTCCGCTCTTTTCCTCCCTCGACTCGGCTCATAACTTTACTCTTACGGCGTTGCTTCAAAACCTCGCTCGCAAAGTATACGCTACACCAGTCAAATGAATGTATATTAATAACAACGAACTTGATAGGTAATTCGAGAGCAGATTCATTTTAAAAGTGAAATGCATATGAGAGAGCATCAGCGGTCTTTTCGTTAGTTCGTGATTTTTCGCGTTGCTTCCCGAACGAGAGCATTTATAAAATAAATTGGCTCGTTAGACAAACTCAAACATTTCACCGTATCAAACATACATAATAGCTTGCATATCGATTTCTACGACTCGTTTATGCGTCTTATACATGAAATTGCTCTCTTAACGGTGCCATTTTGGATAACAAATTGCTAATTACTTCATTCGATTACGTATCTTATCATTTTCATCTCGTACAAACACGCATAGGTAGCACTATTCGGAAAATACTTGTGGCTTGTAACGACGATCGTACACGTAATTATAATTGAATTGCGCGATTGGTAAAAAAGCATCGCGAAGCTATCTCTTTCGGAACGAGTGTGTGTGTTGGCCTTAGGTAGTTATTAGCGGTCTGCGGCTTCCGTTTTTCCCGAGGGCTCGATATTTATTAAAATTAAGTAGCTTTCGTAAAACAATGTACAAATGCGCTGATTTATATCGGTGCGCGTGCAACTAAAGCGGCCAAGTCAAATAATATTAATCGAGAGAAAGCGTGAAAAGTAACTCTTCTGTATTGGAAAAATGCTCATAATGCGGATTAAATGCCAATTGCACGGATTAGATTCGAAATTATGAGGCGAATTGAGATTTCTGATAAGTTGGCATCTATATGCGCGCGTGTATACAGACATCTATTTGGATTATAAGTGAGCAGGCACAATGATGTTACAGGTATTATATGCATATCAGATCTTCGTGCACATCTCTGCGATTGCAGCTGTGTACGTTATATGCATAATGTACTCTCTGGTGGCTACATATCCGCAAATGATGATGTAAATCACAAAGTGGAACGTTGACGTACGCCTTTCGTACTCACGCCGACTTAATGATGCACTTGTGTACAAATGAGCTGCGTACACGATTGATATCTCAAGACGTTCGACACGTTTACATTATTACGGATGAGGAGGGAAAAAACGCTTATGCGCGTGCCTGTTCTTTTTTTATCGCTGCATTTTTATTTTATCACGCCAGAATAGCACAGGAAAAAGTTAATAATTTGCTTGAAGCTATAATTAAAGCGACACTTGGATGGTAAGAGGTGGGTGAATACTTGGTAACTGTATTTGCAGATGAGAAGCTCACACAGCTTCCTACGAGCGCTCGAACACTGTACCCATGTGAAAAGGGCTTTTAAACATTTACATGTGCAAAGCAGTCACAAGTTATACGACACGTATGTACGCTTAAAATGCATCACGTGGATGGAGCAAAATGGCTATCGATCGGATGTTGCTCTGCTCGCGCGCGAGAGGCTGCATGCCACATTAATATAGTATAATACAGCCGCGTGCACATCTCATTGCGCTCGCTCTGTAAGCGTATAGAGCTGTATAGATCTGTGTGTGTGTGTGAGGGAGAAGCGCGGGCAAAAAGTTTCTTTCTCTTTTGTTACACAACCTCGTTTAAATTTAGAACGCGCCTATGCAAGATGGAAGGATTTTATAATTAGAGCAGTTTTCCAATATTTTACATCGGCGACTGTACTAGAGACAGGTGTACAAAAAAGACAACCGATACTTTATACGTGCTATACTATAATGTACGATTGGAGCAAAAGTAACACATCTGTTTTTGATAAGTTGGAAAATTTAATGAACATTTTTCTTGATAGGTTTTCATTGCATAGAACGATATTCAACCTAGTTTGATTAAATTTCGCAGGAATTGAAACGGCTGAATGTTTGTCGCTGGTAGTTGAATTCACGAATGAAAGGGAAAACGGTTCGTTGGAACAGCAGCCGCAAGCTTATATCAGAGCAATTAACGAAATCAATTTCGGTTGGACTGGCACGTATTTAAAGTATATTTACAGAGACGTTCGCGAACAGGGATCAAGTTGGCTGGCCTTGTCTTTAATTACGTCAATTTTTTAGTTCAAAATCGTAGTTTTTCGAAAGCTTACCGAATTCTCGGTGTTTTCGTTGTCAAGTGCGCTGGCTCCGTTGTCCAAGAAAGGTGCGCTCGTGCTCTTGCTAGGCAGCTCGATAACGCTCGACTGAGTGATTCTCAGCTGCAGGCTCTCGGTCGACGGCGACGATAATGCTCGCAGAGTGGAAGACGCATTGGTCGCAACGAGCTCGTTGGAGCTCAGCGAGCTACTGTTCGCGCTATTCGCCGATAAGAGACCTTTAGCATGCATTAAAAATTAAAGTTAGCCCAATCTTGTGTATCTTGCACTCGTATAAAATTACGCGACGACTTACCGAACGGTAAATTATCCGGCCTCGTCGAGGACGATCTCGCGCGGGGAAGCGAGTCGTCGTAACCGCTGCTACTGTCGCGTGCCTCGTGCTCCGCTTTCTTGTCTTCCTCCTGCGTTCGTGTTTGCGTGTGTACACTTTCTCGCTTTACCCAGACGTCGCTGCTCTGATATGGGAACTCTTGGCGCAATCCAAGTAACTTTGACGGACGTCGACGTATTCTTTCCCACGTCTCTTTGCAGTATCCGTCAGTGGGCAGATTTGTCGATTGACACGCTGGAGCTGTAAAATCATGAAATTATATCATTTCTCACCTTTTTTTTCTATTGATTGAACTTATCGACTAAATAAAAAAAAGAAAAAATTAGCTCTACTCACGTTTGGCAAGACGTCTTTCGGTACTTCTTGGAGGACTAGCGGTGCCAATTCCACTTTCTAACGGAGATGCCCGATCAGCGGCGTCCGGTGAAAGACTACCGGAAGAAATCTCGTCCATACTTTGTAAAGGATCTTGAGAGGAAGAAGAGGATCTGTTGTCATCGTCCACGGTGTTTTGCGGAGAAGCCGTGTTAATAATTGCGTCTTCTTGTAAAGATCTGGCATCTGTGCACGAATAAATTCAAGCCAATTGTTACAAATACTGCTACAATTTAACGCCAATGAAGTGTAGAATGTGACTCACCTTGGTGTGGGGAATCACAATCACTTATCCAGGTAAAACTGGAACTTCTTGAAACTCCAGGAGAAGTTTGAGTAGCCATGTCCAGGCAAGGAAATCCTTCTGAAGGTGGACTCCTCGAACGGCTGGATGAACTTCCTCCAGTTAAGCGAGTCAGCAGAGAATGGAACGAAAGCGGCAACTAAAAAATTATTTTTTACCATGATCATTTCTTTTCTTTTAAACTTTATATTAATATTATTTAGTCGGCTTCAAAAAGCTTACCGTTGAGGAGCCAACATTTTTATCGTCGTTTGTAACTCTTCTCACGTCACGTAAATCTTTTTCATTGGATGCTGAATCCGTTGAAATATTCCCAGCACTTGTATGTTTCACAATACTATTGTGCAAAGTGCAATTCACTGCCACATCATTTTTGTGTTTGGATTTTCTCAATTCCACGGGACTCACGTTGATTGCGTCCTTGCTTGATTCGGACAACCTCTTAGCGCTGGCATCCGAATGCACTGAAATTGGCGACACTGCTCTGTTTTTCTTCAAAGAACTCCCTCTGTTAATGAAATCATGATTTAGCACCGGAGAAGCTTCAACGAGTATCGAGTCTGCGGAGGCATTTTGGTAAATTGACTGCTTGTTCTGCTTGCGCATGAGAAATTTAGAAAACGACGTGCGCTTGGTCGCTGGAGGCGTACTAGGAGCTGACTGAGACATACTGCCTTCGAGCGGTGGAAGTCTTCCTGGTATGACCTCGTACAAGTGATCGATTTCACGATCGCGAATTTCTTCGTAATCGGGTTCGACCTTTTCAGCGCTACGCGACTGCCTCTTGCTAGTTGCGCTAAACAATTTTGTTTTCTTCTTGGAACTGTGAGACGGTTGGGGAGGAAGCTGGGCTCCTGGTTCGTTGGTACCATTTTGTAGACCGGCGTAAAGCATCCGATTAGAGCGTGGCATAGGATCGGTAGACGGCTTGATCAATGGTGAACTCCTTCTTTCTTCTGACTGATTTTTCTTTGGCAGATTATATTGTGCATTGCAAACCCTTGGTAGACTAGAATTCATGTGCGCTCTTTGCTTCAGACTGTCATTAGGCTCATCGTAATCGGAGCTGTTTCCGTTTCGCCAGTGTCCATTTCTAGACTCGTTTAGAATTTGATCTCTCGGTAAGGAATAATCCAAGTTCAGCAAGCGATCATGAGAGTCGACGTTTTCAGGAGCTTTCGTTGATTTACTTCTCTCGTTGTCTTTGGTACTTCTTTCTTCCTCTTCGGAACTCTCGTTGCGTGCCAATCCGAGCTGATGGATGATTTCTTTGTAACGTTTTTTCGAATGATTTGCTGACTTGGAATTTTTTTGCGGACTTGGGGCGACTATTTCATTGATATCATATGTGATCAGAGTACTCAATTCGTGCAAAATCTCTTCTGACCAGTTTAATTCCTTGTCGCGCTCGTCTTGTCTGCGTTGCTCACTGCTGCCGCTATCCTCGCTGTCTGTTCGTAGAGAGTCGACGAGTGAATCGTTCAGATCATCTGTTGAATTTTGGATTGCCAGTGGAACAACTAAAGATGACGGTGGATCATGATAAGATGTTTGAAGCGCAAGCTGGTTTTTGAATATTATTTCACTGATTTCCGCCTGTGAACAAAAGAAAAATTGACATTAGTTTGAATACTTGATATATGCAAACTTTAAATTAAAAAATTTTGGTATCAGAAGCAAAATAAATCATATTAATTTATAATAAAAAGAATTGGCTTTAATTTCAGATTTGAAATTAGTCAACAGTCGAATCTTAGTAATTTAAAAAAATTAATCTAATGATATTCTTATTAATACTGTTTTAAAACGTTTGTCTGGAAAATTTTAGATTGTAAATTATTCAGCTATTAGCCTTCCCTGCGCTCAGGCCCTAAACTACGCCGTCCCAAAATGTGTTACTTACGGCTCTTGTACTCGTAAAATTACTTTTTTCGGTATTGCAAAATTAATGACAAGTGGGTGTTCACTGCTATACTATTATGTGTTTTCCGTCATCAGTATAATTTTTAAGAACATGCGAATTACAAGGATGTTTAAATTGCATTTGAGATACGTTCGATGGAGCTAATATTCTATAATATTCATATTAATCAATGCTTATAGAGCTGGAGGTCAATCGTTATCTTGTCCAATTTTTGACAAATAAACAATTAAATTATCGGTTATTATTAGCGAAGGAGATTAGAAACACGCCTCGTCGAGAGATGCCACGCGATATTTGGACTGTGATTGATGGTTGGCGGTGAATATGAGCTGAGGCATAATTGAAATAGAGATTGGCCGAGGTGAGATTGGCCTTGGGATTTTCAAGAGCTGCCGGATAAAGAGATGTTTTATATCTCCAGCCATGCGTTACTATAGTACTCTATTGGCGATCGTTCAAGATGACGTATCGCACGTGAACTTTTGAAGGCACCACATGAAACGATTACAGATGCGATAAGAAGCGAAATGCTTCTAACTGCGATTGATTTTCTCTTTAGTATAAATGATAGGTAACACCTAATTTGAATCAGCGAACAATAATAATTCATAGCTTTTCTGCAAGTAAAGCTCGAAGTGCAACATATTATAACCCTTTCTAATGGACGTATAGGTTTGAAACTATCTTCGCAGCGTAACATAAATTGCTTTTCGTATCTAAGAAAAAGTTGCACTTAATCATTCATTAAAATCGCCTATGGCAAGCACAAGTCGTCTTGCTAATAACGGAAGCGTCTGTAAAAAAAATAACTATCAAAATTAAATTACCGCGTGAAGTTTTTTATGAAAAAGTTTGACCTTAATAAACTGCAAAATAGTGAATGTCAAGCATCCGTTATGCTAGATTGAAAATTGAAATTTTATTATTCCTTTTTGCGCTGTTTTGCGCTTACCGGTGCGTTTGCCATGGGGCACTTGCGCGATATAAATTCGTTCTCGTTACGTCTGTGAGTTTTCATAGAGAAGAAAGTCGTTATTTATGTAGATGGATCGAGCAGAGAATAGCTAAATTGTGTTGTAGTTGTTACTAATCTATCAAATTGTTCATTTTGTAACGATTCTACCTTTACCAAGTTTTCCAACAATTAATTTCGCAACGATGATTTTTTACCCTTAATTCATTTCGTGAGACCAGCCGCATTTTTAACGTGAGCTAATCATGCGAGTTATTATGTACCATTAAATTTAAGAACGTTAAAAGTGTAATTGAAATGATATATGTACGTGGTTAAGATGTATTTTAGCAAAAGTCAAATCGAATGACATAAAATTTTTATAGTTTGTACAATACTTTGACTTAGCCTCGTTAATTCAAATTGCTTTAAACATGAGGCATATTTCAAATACTGTTTTTAAGGTGAGCTTCGAAAGAGGTTACAGTGAATAAGTCAAATGATTCAAAGCTTTAAGGAACAATTGACTATAAAAAACCATGCATGCACAACAGTTGAATTTGTTATACAAAAAACTCAAGCTGCTTAGTGCATGTTCGAGAAAACAATGGATCTTTATGATAATAAAAAATAGTATTGTCATTGGTTGTACATGATGTGTTATTATTGCACGGAATGACCCTTAACTGAACATTGCATCGTGTTGCGAAAATATCATTAAAAAACTTGAGTGACAAAAATCGTTAGTATACGATTCTTTTTTAGAGATGCACTCTCAAATGTAAAACTTTTTTCCTATAAGTTATAAATTAGGCAAGCCATGATTTCCACTTTTGGGATGTATGCATTGATGAGACTAGTTTTCTGAATTAAAAACATTTTTTAACACGAATGTAGCTCAGTCAAAAAATGACAATGATCGCTAATTAGTCGTATAACACAAATGAAATTGAAATAAAATTGTGCTACGCAGAAAACTTTTTTCTCGTTTTGAAATGTGAAAAGTTGGCTAACGATTCTTCATAAAATCAAAAAGAAACATGCCGAGCGAGATTAGAATCTTCTTCGCGTAATTTTCTATCCAGGCTTATCCATCTTCATCTTTTTACTCTGCCGACGTGTGCGAAACAAATTTTCATTCTAATCAGTTACATAGCAGCGTCAACTTTCAAATCTGCGTTCAAAAATATAGACAGAAACTAAAAGTTTTATTTGACTGTACGCGACCGCGCAGCATTCGCATTTTACATCTGTAGCGCACGCATGGAGCAATCGTTAACTAATTTAATCGCGCGCGAAATAATTACAAGCTTGGAGGCGAAAGTGACCTTTGACTGCTACATCTATACAATTAAATGTGGACATATGCGTGAGATGTTAACAATTTCTCTTCAAGACATCAAAAGTGTGCAAAATACAGAAGCGTCGTTTTCTTGCTTGTGCTTGCCTCGCGCAAATGAACGATGATTAATCGCGCAGTGTATTATATAGTACATCCTACACACAAGCCGAGCATTGACCGACGAAAAATTTCTGCGCACACGAGAATGGCTTGGAAGTCTTAGTTGTCGAAGAATTGAATGAAAGACTATGTTATAAAGCGATAATGATGGCGTCTTTCCATCACGATTTTCATCGTCGCTGTGTTTTCCTTTCTTTTACACTATATGTAGTTGTAAAAGCACATAGGTTTCTTTGTTACGAAGAATATGAAATGTATAAGTAAATCCATGTATAAGTAAAATCCATGTGATTCTAAAGGAAAAGCCAACTTTGCATAATTAGGTTTTGATATATTTTACTATTTACAGTTGATAAAAAAATTTTAACCTTCGACCGATTAATAGTTTTACAAGATTCCCGCTCTATCTAAATGATGACTATTATGTGAGCATTCACTATGTAATTCCAAAGCTCTTAAATACAATCACTGTTTTTAAAACTAATCGAGTGAAAACTTTGGGACGTGATAATTATTGGGCGATAAAACTCTACTGTACTTTGCAACGTTTATTAGTGCTTAATTTTTATCTAATTAAATTAAACACTCAAAATGCTTTTAACCGCCTACGCCAGAAACATAATATTTTATTGTAATATTCATTTGTAGACGTATTATTGCAGAGGTACATTACACTCGTGCGTATCAAATATCCCAAACGCAACACCCATTGAGTTATCACAAAGCTCAAAAGCCGTACGTTACATTGTTAATGGCCAATAAAGAGTTATTTCATAACTCAGCAAATAAAAAAAGCCTCTAGTGTGCTTATGAATGCCACGCATCTTACGTTTTCATTAATTTTTCAGCGCTAAAGTGCGCACATTAGAACTATTAACACACTCGGCACGTATTATTATAAAACGTGAGCCGACAGCGACGGCGACGTGCCGCCGTCGAGCGGGATGCATACTCATACGTGTGTGCATTTTTCAAAGAATGAGAGAGAGAGAGAGAGAGAGAAAAAAAAATTTATATGACTCGCAGCTTATATAGCCGCATTATATATGGCAAAAATGAAACAAAACGTTATTATCATCATCGGTTCTGCTGAGCTGCAAAATTCAATTTTACATTAGGTAATGTGCCGCGCGAGCTGCGGGCGAGATCGTAAACAAGACACGGTATACGTACACGAGATGTAGCTGAAGGAGTAAGTATCAACTAGAGAAAACGCTTGGGAAGCGATAATTTTTGATAAAAAAGTAATCTTTCTTTGAGTCCGAGTTGATTTAGAGAATTCATACTCTTCTCGACGCTCATGGGCGTAATGAAATTTTCCCGAGAGCGATCTTGATTTTTTCACAAAATTGAACTGGAAGGGGAATTTTCGTAAACGCCAAGTATATTACAATGTGTAATTAAAAACTTATTTACATTAAATAACTCATCCTCATAGATTGATTTATCTGTCAATAGCTAATAAAATTCTTATTGAAAAATAATCTTATGTTCCGTGTATTGATTTTAGCACTCGATAATTACGTTGTTATTTTTACACTTTACTAATGCGAATGAATATGCTTCATTTGTTGTAAGTGTTTATTGAAGAAAAAACGTGTACATTTTCATAAGAAAACACGCATTAAATCTGTTGGAAATTTAATGAAATGTCTTCTTGCCCTCTTTTGTCACATTTATTAATGAGGATTTCGAATATGAAACATGACATGATAATATGAACAGAGTCTGAGATCGATAAAAAAACGATGTTTAAAAAAAAGCAAAATTAGTGTATACAAATGTGTGTATCAAAGATTGTTTTATCAGAATCTCGGACTCACGCCAAAACTTCATTAAAGTTAGAAAGTCTTATGTGAACAGCTTCTGAAAAGATTAATGCGAATAAAACATTGCGGTTGCAGCTCTGCATACAATCAAGCCCCTACCACTGGCGACACATTTTTCCGGACACGCGAGGGCAGCTAATGGCAGAGTCACGGAAAATACATTGTAACTGTAAAGTTACTGATATATACGTGGATAACGAGAAGTCAAGTTATACGGGATGATGTCCGTGAAAGGAAAAGTTCATTTTAAAGACGAGCAGTTAAGTTTTACAGTACGCACACTGCATGTAAAATTTTCGGTTGATATAAATCAAAGACTATATGAGTTGTCTATTATATCTACTATTTAGATTAAAAGTGTAAGTGAGCCAATAGTTTTTTGCAGTCGTACACATTGAATTCCGATTTTTTTTTTTTTTTTTCATAAAA